TTTTTGAGAGAAGTAGAAACTTTGATTGCACAAATATTGGAGGAGGCCTGGCCCCTGGGACCTCACAATTCAACCCGGAAGCACCGACTGGGACCGCAACCCAGCGAGTCCAGCATCCCAAAAATTCTAGTTCACTCAAAAACTTCTCAAAATACCATGAAGCCCAGAAAAAGATAACTGATCTTCATCCAATTTGACATTGCGGGGCGGGTTACACCCGGGCACCTTGATAGCGATCGTCGCGTTCTGCTCTTGACCCCCCTCCCTGCCACATGGCAGGTAAGGGTAGAACTTGGAGGACGCCCCTCATATCAGTATTGTGAACTGGTCAGGGCTTGCTCCCTGGCCTCAGATATGGAGCCCTCGGTGAGGAGAGCCTCTCACTTTCAGTAGAGGATTCACCACTTTCTCGGCCCTCTATCTGTTGCACATGACCTGGGTGTTTCTCCATAGCTGGTATGAACACTGCCGACAGATTGGAATAATAGGGCACTGGGAGCTATCTGCTGCGTGGGGGGAACTTTCTGCCTTCTGCCTTCTATCCATGGCAGCGAGTAGCAGAACGTCGACTTGTCTACAGGGAGAGCTTCCGTGTTGTTCTTTGCAGTATTGTTCAGCGCATACGTCTTGCTACGGAAGAAGACGCGTGTCACCACCATCATCATTATCATCGAAGAAGAAGAAGAGGAAGAAGGGTGTCAACATCATCATCATCATTATCGACGAAGAAGAGGAAGATGTGTGTCATCATCGTCATCATAGAAGAAGAAGAGGAAAAGAAAGACGCGTGTCATTATCAACATCATCATAGAATAAGAAGAAGACACGTGTAATCCAGGGCGCAAATGGATACGAGTAGGGTTCGCTGCAGAGGTTGGCCTTGTGGTTTTTGGTGCTGACGAGACAGATGATCTTGGGGCTGGATTATCGATTGGATAGTTTTGCACGTGCCTTTTTCGAAATTTGGACTGATTATCATGGTTAATCAGTGAGGTTGTTGGTGTTGCTTTTCGTTCACCCCCTTTTACTGGATGGCGTTTTCTTCCTATAGGACAATAAAGGACGTGGCGGGGATCACCTGGAATGATGGGCCTGATGATGCCTCCTCATCAGGTTGGCTGTTTTGGGACGGTAGAGCTCTGCTAAATTAGGACATTGGGCTTGGCACAGTGTGGTTGGCTTTTGCTCTGTAGATTTTTTTTTTCTTTTTCTTTTTCTTTCTTCTTCTTCTTCTTCTTTTTTTTTTTTTTTTTTTTTTTTTTTTTTGGCGGTTAACAGATATAAAATTTGACACTGCCTGTAGGACCTTAGAGGATGTGGCAGGGATCACCTGGAATGATGGGCCGGATGCTGGCCCCTCATCAGGTCTGTCCTTTTGGGATGGTCTCTGCTTGGTAATGTGAAGCCTGTTGCTGAGCTCTGCTAAAATAGTGGCATGGGGTTTGACTTGGTTACTGGATGGCGCTTTCTGCCTGTAGGACAATGGAGGACGTGGCAGGGATCACCGGGAATGATGGGCCTGACGCTGCCTCCTCATCAGGTCGGTAGTTTTGGGACGGTAGAGCTCTGCTGAATTAGGGCATGGGGTTTGGCATAGTGTGGTTGCTTTTTGCTCTGTAGATAATTTGCGGTTAACAGATATAAAATTTGACATTGCCTGTAGGACATTAGAGGACGTGGCAGGGATCACCTGGAATGATGGGCCTGATGCTGCCCCCTCATCTGGTCTCAGACTGTCGTTTTGGGACGGTCTCTGCCTGGTTGTGTGACGGCTGTTGCTCGGCTCTGCTAAAATTACGGCGTCGGGTTTGACTTAGTGTGGCTATTTTTGCTCAGTAGATAGTTTGCGGTTAGCAGATATAAAACTTGACACTATTTTAGTGTTATTTCCCCTGGATCCCAGGGCAATCAATGCTGGCAAGACCCTTCTGAACATCGTTTTTTCTGATGTATCTCAATTCCAATCTGTACGAGGGACGCTGGACCCGTTTTCCAGCAGGTGATGCCTGTCTCTTATACACATCTAGATGTGTATAAGAGACAGAATCAATGCTGGCAAGACCCTTCTGAACATCGTTTTTTCTGATGTATCTCAATTCCAATCTGTACGAGGGACGCTGGACCCGTTTTCCAGCAGGTGATGCTCCCCACCAATAGACTGGAGCTTCTCCCCAGGTGTTAAAAAAAAAAAAAAAAAAAAAAAAAGATATTAGGGCTGATTAAAGTTTTTGCTCCGTTGATAAATTAGGGTATTTTGATATGTGTGGATTACCAGGGGCTAAAAGGATCTTGAATGGAGAAACAACGATGTACTGCGTTTCGTGTGTGCGCGGTGCGACATCAGCGCTGGGCTGAGACACGTCGCAGGTTGACGTGTGCAAACGGCCCGACTTTCGACTAGAAGGTTCCACGTGGGATCCTGTGGCCGCTGCGTTTTCGCCACGTGGCAAGCAAGCATGTCCTGTACAGACGGGATCGAAGTGGAGTGAGCCCTTGTACGCCACTGAAGTGCACGGATAGCAGAAACAACGATCGACAAAGGAAAAGCTGCGAGAAGACCACGTCACAGGAGAGGAAGATATCTAAGAAAATACGAGACGAGGAGAGACACCACGACTGGGAGGAATCAAAACTGCGGTACGGAGGCGGCTTGTCTGTTTGCGGGGACAGAGAAGGCCATCATGGTGGAAGGTTAAGGGTGACGAGAGGACAAGACGAAACGAGCCAAGGAGGGAGGACGAAGGGAGGCGGAATTGTGAAAGTTTGTATCGACGAGGTCATCTTTGGCGAAGAGTCAACTTCGGCAGTCTGTTCCGGCGACGCCTGGCGAAGGAAAAACAAGTGTCAAAAGTCCAGCTCGGAGCGATTCGTGGGCACCGTCGATGAACAGGCATGCGCTCTCCTGACCCCTTTTCCTTCTGTTCCCATATTTGCCTTCGCCCTCCCCGCCAGTAAAAGTCAGCATCCGTTCATCAAAAACCATCGAAACCGAATTAAATTGATAACTGGAAATAATCTGGGAACTGGAAATAATCTGGGAATCGCAACAAAAAAAGAGAAGCGACGGTCCACGAACTCACCCGGCAGCCACGATGGACAGGAGACCAGGACGGAACAGCACAACGGCTCCCCTGCTCTTCTACCAAGGTGCCATGAGGCATGCCCGGAGTAGAAAGGCCCCCAACTCCCCATACGAACGGCCAACCGCCAGATCGCTCCCTGCTACCCGGATGCCCTGGCCGGACCAGGGAGGATCGACGGTGGCAGCAGCTGCACTTCGACGAAACCAAGAGAAAGGACGGGGAGAGGAGACAGTGGCAGGCACCATCGTCCAGGGGGGATCGACGGTGCTTGAAACTGCACTTCAACCCAATCAGGGGAAAGAACGGGGAGAGGAGAAAAGGGCAATCGCCATTGAGCAAGATAAAACAGAAAGTTCAGGAAGAAGGGTGCAGGAAGATACGGAGATGGGGGAGGAAGACGAAGATGAGATATTAACAGAGGAAGAGAAGAAAGAATTGGTAAAAACGCCGGAGGCACACCCGGGACGGAAAAGGGATGCATCGGAAAAAAAAGAGGAGCAACCCTCCTGGGCACAAAGGGTCAGGAATACGATGCAGGACAAAACCCTGACCATAAAACGCTCCGTGGGGGGCCCGCAACAGGGGTCAGCAAAAGACTTAAAAGTGCCGCTGAAGAACCTCTCATCAGCGCGGGCGTTTTTCCTTACCCACTTTCTCCTCCCCTCGGAACGCCAGGTGATCGACCAAGGAGGAAGAAAAACGATGATAAAAACATACCCAGTGGAAAAATTGGAAGAAAGAGACAAGACATACACAGAACACGCAAGCACTTGGGTGTTTCAGGGAGATGCGGCGCAGAGATCGGTCAACGACAAAATAAAGTGGATCTGCAAGAGACTAGAAGAAATGAAAGGGAATCCGGAGGCAGTGAACGAATTTTTTCTTATCCAACCCTTGACCTCGACTGTCTTCACGATCTTGAGTTTGTTTACACAAGACAAACAACGGATGGATGGATGGAGAAGATTGCGATGGGAAAGATCTGAGGTGCGAATATACCCATGGCAGCCCAAAAAACTCACCCCGGAAGAAAAGAGAGAACAAATGATGAAAGATTACTTTGGGTGGAGCTAAGGCACATTCCGGTGGAGGTGCAGGCCACCTTCATACATGACTTGGCACAACAATACACGATAGTGAACTTTATTGATCCGCTTCCCTCGTATGTTGCGAAAAGAGACGACTATGTGATGCTCGCCCTGGACCTTCCGAAAGACCAGCCGTTCTCCATGGACGACATCATACCGTTTAAAATGAGAGGGAAAATTCATCAGATTCACACAACACACAAATTTCGCTCCTGGTGCTTTAAATGCAGGGCGTATGGTCACCTGTGCAAAGAGTCGGCATGCCCGAGACACCCGAGCAACACCCAACCTTCAGCAGGGAGGCTGCGACGGGACCCCCACAGACCAAACAGATGGTACACGGCTGACCCGGGACACAACGCCTGGGTGTACCTAGACGAGGTGGACTCGAAAGGGTAGACTCAGGGATGAACATGGGAGGGCAGGGGGGAGCAATGCAGGGCGACGAAACCGCCCAATGACTGGAAGCCCAAGGGAGACCCGGGCCGCCCGACGAACCCTCAGGAGCGACATGCGGTCCCCCAGAAGGCTAAACAGCCCGTGCCGACACAGCTGCAACCTGGAAACACACCAAAGAAACAAAAACAGTTAGTAAAAGGACCGGCGGCAGAAAATTACCAACCAGTAAGGGATCGACAATGTGGCCTGTATGGGGAGGGGAAGGGGAAAATATGGCAGGCACTTAAAAGGAAAGCCTCGGAACCGGATGATGTGAGAATGGGAGGTAACACCCCCCGACCCCAAGGCGATGCCCCCTGGCCTGGTGGAGACAAAACGACCACCGACCCGCTCGAGAAAGCCTTTGGTACGATCCCGATGGAGGTGGAGGTTATCCCGGGAGCCCCCACCAACCCCGCCCGAGCTTGAGATGGAGGACGCTGCGGATACGGGGACGCAACAAACCGCCATAGAAAACAGTGCTGCAGCAGCAGAAACATGGGGGCAACCAACTGCCACGGAAAGCAAGGGGACAGACTGAGAGACCTAGCGGACTGGTTGATGGACAATCTGCAAATAAAGTTTCAAGGCCGGAGTGATGACTTCTGGGATAATACATACCTGGCCTTAATCCCCCTACTTGAAAACAGTGAAAGCCTCCAGCTTGTTCATGCAAATGGCTTACCGCAAGGAGTGAAGTGGTCAGACACGTGCCAGAAGCTCCTCACCATTGTCCTTGAGCACTTCCGACCACAGGGAGATGTTGATACCCAGCAAGAAAGGAAGGACAACGGGCCCCCGACTAATGAAAATGGACAATCGCATCCCCTAAAAGAGGAAACTGAGATGGTCGGGAAGGAAGAGACACAGGAGGGGGCAAAAGAGAAAGCTCAGAAGGATCGCACGGGGCAAAGGGAAGCGGCAAAGGACAAAGCAGGACCCGCAGGAGGAAAGGCCAAAGAGGACAAAGAGGAGGACAAGATGCCTGGGGAAAAGAAAGAAGTCAGCCAGAGGAGGGAAGGCGGGACAGACAACAGGATAGATGACAGAAAACCAGAGGAGGCAGTAAAAGAAAAAGTGTCTCAGGACACGGGGGCAGGAGTGGGGAGCAAAACGGAAGGGGGAATCAAGGAAGGAACAGAAAACGGGATAGCAACGGGAAAAGAGGATGACCCACACAAGATAGAAAGGAGAAATAAAGAAAACACACCTGCAATCGAAGGGAGTAGGGTGTCGGAAAGAGAGGAGGAAGGGCTGTGCTTGGCGCTGGCCGCCTGGCAGCCAGAGGCAAATACACAGCGAAAGCCGGACGCAACACGCAACACAGCTACCCCGCAGCCCCCACCGCCCTCTCAGTCCACGGATTCGGACCTCACAAGCAAGCGTCTGAAGTTACGACATCTACTAGACAAGGGGGGGACAGTACCTCCGGTGGAAAAAGGGCTTAACATCATACCGGTCAGACGCCGGGAGGACTCTTGGGAAGTGGGTCTGTCTTCACCACCCGACGCAACCCATGGAGAAATCACGATGAAGGGGCAATCGTCGTTTCTCCTCTCACTCACAGCATAGGGAGGCGGCCCGACACTTCTGAAATCAAACATTATGCAACTGACCCGGGACCACCTCCCGAAAGGTGCCGTCGCCTCAATGGTGACCTCGTATGGGGAAGGCATGCTATCTGCCAGGGATATCTATTTGAGATATGACTCATATGAGCAAACAAAGGCTGACGGACTTCGCTGGTTCAATCAAGAAATGTTAATGGATCTGTAGATCCTGAAAATCAAAGCTAGCGACCCCTGGTCAGAAGACGACATTAGATCCCACTTAATCAAATTACTGCTAAACCAAACCCTGCAACCGGGTGGCCCCTTAGACCACGCGTCGTGGCTCCCCCTCTGAGTGTACTGGAGATCACGCAAGCGCAGCGATAAAAGAAAACAGAAAGATGCAAAATATGAATGTGGTAGAGGCGCTATACAACAAGGATAGACAATGGAAATTGGTTAAACGCACTGCGGATCTCGACGTGCGCTCTCTGAACGTGAATGGATTAGCCTCGGCCAAAGACAACAAACGGAGAGCGATTCTGGAATTGCTTAAAGGGGTGGATGGACGGGATTGGCCGGATGTCATATGCATACAAGAGACACATCTGACTGATACACCAGAACATAACCACGCCCACAAAGAAATATGGCCACACCAAGCCTTCCGAGCACATGCCCACACCCCCGGTAGTGGAGGAACGGCCATTTGGCTCTCCCCGGGATCCAGAGTGGGCCCGATCTACTGGGAAGTGGACAAGGAAGAAGGGAGATGGGTGTACATTCTAGCGATGCTGGAAATAGAGGTGGTAAGCATACTCAATGTCTATGGTCCGAATGATCCTAGGGAATGACAACTTTTCTTTGAGAATCTCAAAACCAAATTGTTGTCGGGCATCCCGATCATAATGGCAGGGGACTTTAACGCAGCCCCTGACCGTTGGCTCGACAGATGGAAGATCCCTTCCCTGTGTCCCTTTTACGTAGAAAATGATGAAAGGACCATAGCTGATCTAACCCACACCCTTCACCTTGTGGACGCCTTTAGGCAGGCCTTCCCCACCAGGCGGGCCTATACCTGCTTTCGCAAGTGCCAGACACAAAAGCTCTCCAAATCACGAATTGACTTGGTCCTAATCTCCGAGGAACTGCAAGAAGCGCTACAAATAACAGAAATTTTTCCCCGAAGTTCTCATCCAGGGCTGGACCACGCAATGTGCCTGGCCACCTTTTCATTCCGAAAAAAACCACATCAAGGGAAGGGGTTTTACAAACTCAACACATTCCTGCTGGCCATGGATTCCTTTAAAATGTATCTGGAAGAGGTTTGGGCCTTTTGGCGCCAGCAAAAGACTTCAATCCATGACGACATAGTATGGTTCAATAACGGCCTGGCATATCTTGGCCCCAAGTGCAATGAATACTCAAAACTACTCGCAACTAAACGTAATGCAGAAGAAATAGATCTACAACACCGATTGCAACAGCTCCAACAGCAAGAAGAGGACATGACTGAGGTCGCAAGGCTAGACGAACTAGCCCACGAAATCCAGACGTTGGAAGCCCGAATCCTGGAACGAATGGAGCATCGGTGGCAAGGCATCAGGATCCGAGGTAAGCTGCACAAACACAACTTAGAAGGAACCATGGACACAAGGTTTTTCGCAATGGCTAAAGCCAAAGTGGGACGGGCAACGATTGAAGCCTTGGCGGACCCGGATGCCCACCAAGGCCAGCTGCACACCTCCACAGCAGCATGCACAAGGATAGCAAGGGATTTTTTTCAGGATCTCTTTAGGTTGGAGTGCGGGACCCGACCAGGGGAACACAGAAAAAAAGAAATGACGAATTTCTGCTCCCTCTCACCAGGACGATGACAGACCAACAAAAGGACCTTTTAGAAAAGCCCCTCACAAAAGAGGAAATTTGGACAGCGTTAATGCTTATGGACGAGGAGAAAACTCCGGGTATAGACAACCTGCCAAAGGAGTTCTGGGAGACAATGTGGGCAGACATCTCACAAGACTTGATGGATTACTATAACGAAATGTGGGAGACCGGTAGAACCGGTGAGTTCGTGGGCCAAGGAGTGTTAACACTCCTCTATAAGAAAGGAGCGAAGACAAACATAAGGAACTATCGACCGATCACACTCCTCACAATGGTTTACAAGATGGTAGCTAAAGCACTGGCGAACTGCCTGATCAAAGTAATGGATGACATTATACACTCAAACCAGACCGGTTTCATCAAGAGTAGGAACATTCAGGATAACATTCTCTTAGTCAATGAGGTGATCAAACTGACAAGACAATCAAAACAGAACGCAACAATCATCTTCATTGACTTCGAGAAGGCCTACGACCACGTGGACTGGATATTCCTGGATAAATGTCTCGAAAAGTTTAACTTCGGGCCTGTCTTCAGACGTTGGGTACAGATCGTGCATAGAAACGCCACAACTAGGGTCATGGTCAATGACAATCTGGCACCACCAATCACCTTGCAACGGTCGGTGAGACAAGGTGACCCACTGACCCCATTCCTCTTTGTCAATGGAAGCATTGACGGCTAATTTAAGGACCAACAAGAATATACAAAAGATACAACTTTCTTCGATTCCAAAGGAAGCTATCCCTGTTTACTCCATGTTTGCAGACGACCTGACCCTCATGGTGGATGTCTCCCTGGCCTTGATGGAGGAAGTACAGCATATGATGGACCGTTTTTGCTCTCTTTCTGATATGAGAGTCAACTGGGGCAATAAAACTCTGGGATGGTGGATTCATCATCAAGGCGTTAGACCCCCAGAACACCCGGAGGTGAGGTGGCTCCCTCAAGACGCCCCGATTAGAGTCCTGGGAGTCTCCCTGACCGCCAACAGTAGACCAACTACCAACAACGAATGGTTAGCCAGACCCCCCCTGGAAAAATTGGCGCAATGGAAAGATAAACACACCTCACTCCTGGGAAGAACTCTGGTAATTAAGAATGTAGTGTTGGCCACTCTTCGGTACAGATTGACCATCTGGGGGTTAGACAAACACACTCTCCTTTCTCTTAAATGACAGATAGCAGCATTCCTTTGGCGGGGAGATCACGAGAAACAGAATGTGATAAGCAGAGTCGCATGGCAATCGATCATCCAACCCAAAGTCAAAGGGGGCCTGGGTATAATTGACCCCACAACCCAAGCTAAGGCATTAGCTATCCAGTGGCTCAAGCGTCTGCTCTTCTGCCCGCACGCCCCCTGGAGAGAGTTGGCCTTGGAACAGATTGCACGATTAGCCCCGGAAACACCATCTCACATCCATCCAATCACATGGATTGAAAATAGGACATGGTCACTTCCACGGCGCCAAACGCAACGAGAAAAACTCTCTACTGACTCGCCACGACAAGAGGCAAGAAAGGATTTGCGTAATGACCCCTTCTGGCCAACCCTCCTGCAAATCTGGCGAAACCTCCCTCTACCGGACAAAATATCCCCCGAAAGATGGGAGGAAGTAGCCCGCCAACCACTGTTTGGAAATAGGAGGATAACCAATTCAAGGGGTCAAATGCTGCACTGCATGGATTCCTCCTGGAAAGGCTGGGTTAAAAAAGGAGTTATGAGAATCAGCGATATTTGGGACGAAGACGAGAGGGACTGGATCATAGAAAAAAGTCTTAAGCACAAGCTAAAATACTGCGACAGACCAGAACAGGCAATGGGAAATCTGATTGAATGCCTCCCCTTAGACTGGTGGAGAATTTTGCGAAAAGGGCCATGGCTGCAAGAATCCGACTGGGTCGCAATTAGGGGACGTCAGGGAGAGGTAGGCAATATGGTGAGCTGTGACCCAGGAGGACCAGTGGCGGTGGATATCTTCACAATCGGCAATGACAACTACCTCCAAAGACCAAGCCCGGAACAAATACAACTCCTCGACAAGCACGACCTCTCAAGAATAAGAGTGTTGAGGAGGGAGGACAGATGGGTGGCGTTCTTTCCGGACACACCGATATCCCATCTGCCCCTGGACCCTGTGGAATGGGAATGGACTAACACAACTGCCAGAGGCAGATCTTGCACTAGAACGCTGTATAACCTGACRGTCAAAGCCACATACAGACTGCTCCGTCCAAAAGTTAACCTGCGYGACCAGGTGGTAGGGAGATGGTTGAGACAACTRAACAYCGCTAAMGAATCGCTGAGGGGTGTGAAATGGTTCCAGCTAAYCAAGAAGAAACCARCAAACCTGGCATCCCTGCAATGGCAGATGGAACACCGTTGCCTACCAACCAACAACTGGTTGATAGACAGAACCACGCTGGAACAGAGGGGACTGGCGCKCCCCTGGTGCAGACTATGCTCCAGCGCATTTCCATCTAGAAAGATACYGGAAACAATGGAACACATATTTCTGCAATGCCCAGGGGCAGTCTGRMTCTGGCGCTGGTGGGACAGAGTATGGGGCCAGTTAGGAACAGGGGTGCCTTGGCCATGGGACTGGAAAGCCCTGCTGTTTGAAAGATGGCCCCTTGAACAGCAAGACGATTTTACACTCAATATCTTTCAACAAGGAAGAAGGGCAATAATATGGGCACTGTGGAGACGTCGCTGCACGTATGAAATGGAAGGAGTGAGGTTGGAGGGGCCAGAATTCACAGAGAGTATACGCCAACAGATCCAAACAAATATAATGGGGAAATGGGAGGAAACCAAAAAACAGATCAAACATCTTCACACAAGCAAAGTGATAAAACAGCGGATACAAGACTTCTGCAAAAGCTGGCTTGGGGGGGAAATGGGGGGGAGGATAGGGCGGGTGGAATGGAATGAAGGAAGTAGAGGGCAAGGTGAAAGGGGTGACAACGAGACGGCCACTACTAAAGATTATAAACTCCTCTTCAACGACTGGACTAAAGTGGATGACTCAGTCCCGATGAGGCCGAGCACCGACTTCCCGGATTTCTTTCCCCCCTCTGCAAACAGTTTAGTAGGACTTTCTTGGTATGGGGGAGACTGATTGTGAGAAAGGCACCAGGAAGGCCTCCAAGGCTTCACTTTTATCAGGGAGT